GGAGTTCTAAGTGCAGAAAGAATGTGCAAAGTTGAAGGGTGATCTTGCTGTGAATGAAGGCCAACGGAGAGTTCTGCAGCAAGATTTTGAGGTACAGTGGTCAATGATGGTGGCACAATTCAGTTTATCCATGGCAAAATTCACCTTATCCATGGCACAAGTCAGTTTATCCGTGCAGCACGTTGACCTAAGAAAAAAAGTTTGAAAAACGAAGAGCAATTTTAATTTCCCAAACTGTAAGGCTGCATATTAACAATTTAACACCAAATGGCAAATTCAGAAATTCTAAATTAAATTAGGTGACATGGAATGAAATTTGTCTTCTTGTGTGACTTGTATCAGAAAGGGGGGGGGAGGGAAATCCCTACCTATAAGTTACCTGTAATTAACAGTTACAAAATTAATAGTGGTATGAAGTTGGGAAGACGCAATCGAATGCAATAAACTTGAATAAAGCCATGGAGGCGAGGGAATAGGGCGAAAGGTGTTGGAGATCAAGGAAGGGGTACAGACAGATAGACTAAGGAGTGGTGGGCACAGATAGATAAACAAAGGAGTAGTGAAGAAGATGACACGAAAAAAGTATGGAAACCAAAACCAAAGAGCCATGGAGATGCAGGGTACGCGGAAAAACAGGCACTTAAAAGTTAACATTGTCGAATAAACTCAAATCGGTGCCATGCTGGCATGTCCCTGTGCAGTGTTTCATCCGCCCGCCTCCCTTTTTTTTTCACCTTCAGCCCAGGTAGAACCGATTTATGATTCCGATCATTACACACAACCTGGGCTTTAAAAAAAAAAAAAAAAAACACGAATCTCAATTCTCTCATCCAGACCCAAAGCATGTCCCAAACTTCCAACATAAAAAATCATTGCAAAATGCCATGCAACAGAACACACAGTGTTGCTCTGCTGGTGAGCCGCACTCACAAGAGCCTTCACAACTGCGGATGAGCCCATGGGACCCTTTGCCAAAAGCGAAATAAAAGTAACGACCAGCCGCAAAGCGAACATTCCTCTCTCTATGCAGATGACTTCAGCAGCATTGGGTAATGCTTTACGTCAGTCTTAGGGCCGGTAATGCTCTCCATCAGTCTTAGGGCATTACCGGCCCTAAGACTGATGCGCACACACCGCCAAATGCCAAGGGCTCAATTCTTCGACACACACACGCACACAACCACACCTGTCTCTTATACACATCTAGATGTGTATAAGAGACAGCACACAACCAAAAAAAAAAAAAAAAAAAAAAAAAAAAAAAAATCCACACAGTCCATCATCATAGTACTAGGTATAGAGTACTATAGACCCAGTCCATGTGGCACTATTACACATACACCCAGTCCATGTGGCTGAATGGTACACACAATGTCACACATGTAACTGCTGATAAACAGGTCATGAGTTCGAGACCTTTGAGGAAGGAAGGTATTTCACAAAAGTATCATCCAGAGTCTGCAACCCTGCGGCACCGGATTGTAATCAAAAACATTAATGTATTACCTCCCTCCGATAAATCGGATTGATTTCCTTTCCTTCCAGCTTCAAACCACCACTCTCCACGGAGGCTCCTAGGACGGTGTTGGGTATACACACCGGCAAGAGTTCAGTTCAACCTACTGTAACCCCCCTCTCCCCTTCCCCCCCCCCGCTCGGCCCCCCGCTCCCTCCGGCTCCCCCCCAGCCTGCAGCGCCTGGTAGACCCAACACCACCACATTTGTGTGCAGGGCAAAGCTACCGTCCAGGATGAAGGTATACGCACCGGCCAGAGATCCGTTCAACCTACGGTACATCCCCCACCCCCACCACCACCACCACAGCCTGCAGCCTCTGGTAGGCCGAACACCGCCAGGTCCACCGCATGGGTGTCCAGAGCGAAGCTACAGTCCAGGATGAAGGTAAAGAGTAAGTTCACCATGTTCCAGGATGAAGGTAAAGAGAAAGTTCACCATGTTCCAGGATGAAGGTAAACAGAAAGTTCAACATGTTCAGGGAAGCTTCGCGGTTTAACACACATACTCACTCCCCGGTTGCCTCAATGGGCAGCAGCAAACTACCGTCTCCACCCGAATACAACGCCCGGTCGTTATAGGCTCTATTTGGGGCAGCTTTCACTCTTACAGCGACGATGACCGGGTGTTGTGTTCTAGTCATGTGAAGACGGTAGCGCAACATTCCAAAACTGCCCCATGAACCCGATGACAAATGTGGACATTCCCCCAAATGCCCCTGTTGTTAGCTTGGTCACACGCATGACCCGTGTATGGGTGGTATACGGACTCTGACAAGGACATTTTGGCAAAGTCAATTTCACAGTGGGTATGCTCGCAAGTTTTCCTCTGAGGTTTCCACCCCTGAACTTTTTTTCACCCACACCCTCCCTTGCACGGTTTTTTCATTCATGAACCAAATACCTTTCTCGGCCTTTCGGCTAAGATCAAGTGTAGTATCTGTTCTGATCAGTTTAATATCTGAGCCGTGGTCCATTGGGCCACAACGATATTAAACTTAAAACAAAAAAAAAAAAGGACCCGAGGCTTAGTGGTACGTGGGTAGTAATGGCTGAGAATATCAGGGCCGGAGCTAGCCCCTTAATGGGTGGTTTTGTTTCTCTGTTTTGGTAAATTGGGACCAGGGCTGGCCCTTCAATTTTACGGTTTTATCAGAACTAGGCTATACGTAAGAATACTGGGCATCTATTTGTTGGGGCCTGGGCCCTAAGAACCGACCACGGTGTTGTAGTGGCCAGTCACTGAGTACACAGTGATCACCTGGAGCAGTAGGCCGTGGGTGTCCTGGAATATGAGACCACCTCCCATCCCATCCTCACGTCAATACTCCTAGCGCACCCCCTATCCCACTATCATACCTCAGTGTGACCATCACTCAGGACCGTTACCCTACCAATGGGCAGGTAACTTGGACCGAACAGCAGTGATAGGCACCAGGGCTGATAGGTTGCCCAGCCCTAAGCGGAATCAGACGAGCCTTGTCGAACAGGAACTTCGGACGCCAGGCCCAGACAATCTACTACAGGCCCCAAGAGACTCTGGGCCCTAGGTTTCAGACAGGGTAGCACCCAATGAAGCAGTCTTACCGTCCTTCCCCTAGCTTACCCAAGGCCAGGCGGAACTCAGACTGGCCTGAGCGACTTATACCCCTACCCTTACCCCAGGGTCTAAGCCTTATATATAGTCACTAGACAGTTCTATTCGAATATCAGTAGGAACTCCGGTGGCCCATACCTGTCCCTACTGCAGATACTAGACCCCACCCAGTGACTAGACCCCCCCAGTCTGATAGTTGTGTAGTTCGCAATTTATGTGTGTACCCGAAGGCTATGTATGCTCCGTGTATCTATGTATCGAGGTGTACAGACAGCACCATGTGTGGAAACTTGTGTATGTAGCCCGTAGGCCATGTATAATTTGCAAGCTATGTATATGCCCGAGGGCTATGTGTGCTCTGTGAATCAATGTATCGAGATGTATAGGCAGCATCATATGTGTACATCAAAGAGAGAACGCGAACCAGCTCGAATCCGTGACCTTGTAACGTGTAATCGAATGACTCTACCATGTGAAGTGGAAATGGCACGAACGTGTGATATGCCAGACTGGGGAGATCAACAGAACACCCAAGACCAACACCCCCAAGCAACCCATGTAAAACCCAGACCCAACATACAACACCATGAACAACCCTTGGGTGGTGCGCAGGCAGTGTCTGTAATAGCTAACGTGCGTCATCCCAAGGGAGTGTGTGTCCAGCCGTGCGTCATTCTAACGCCCTGCCGGTGTCCATGCGCAAGGCTACGGATTTGAACCCGCAACCTCATACCACAATGCGCATTCATCATCCCAAGCAGGGATGTCAGGCGTGTAGTCGTTGAAGGGCGCAGCGCATGTATCAACACAGGACTTCCCTGCTGATTGTCCGCACCGACGCAGGGAAATATTTTGCTGGTTTACAGATTACTGAAGATATGGATGGTCATAAATTTGGAGAATTTGCTTTCTACACGTAAAACTATTTCCAACCGGTGCTCTAACCACTGAGCTACATTTCTTAGTTTTCACATAGGCAAGTAGTTTCGAACCAGTGACCGGTAGGTAGAATAGGATTTGAGCATGATCAGCCGGGGAACGAATCCTAGTAGGTAGGCGCTAGTACCGTCGCTAGCGGAGTGTGTTTTTTTGTGTGTTACAATGGTCGAACATCGAGGCATTGACGAGGAATTCCTGTAAATAGGGAGAGTTAGCATGAGCTAATCCTCTTTCGCCGAACGGCGTTGGCGCGACTAGGCTGAGGTCAGCGGGGGGGTCGTCTATGATGACGTGGGGTATGGGGGCTAAGTCGTCATTGACGACGGTGGAGTCGTGCCTCATCACCATCTTTTGGGCTTTCACACTACCACTGTTAGCAGCCACGTGTTAACGTGTGTTGTTTTTATCTAAAGAGATGCTTTGATGATTTCACACAGCTGGTCTGGCATTATGCCCCGTGTGCTGTTGACTGCTTGCCTCGAGTTTGCAGTTCTATGAATTCCTATCGCCACCGTCATCTTTCCGAAGACAATTTTGAATAAGAGAAAAACAAAAAACCGGTTATGAATCCATGGCTTAAGAACTCTACATTCTTCCCCTGAGTACAACGTACTATGGTCATTATAGCTGTATCTAGACTGAAAGATGCCTCAAATACAGCTATAATGACCATACGTTGTATTAGTGAGAAGAAGGTAGGGCTTACCAGAGTCTCGGTAGAGCAGGTTTTTGTGGTTTTCAGCAGCCACATCACCAGTCTGACACCTTTCATCGATCGATGAGACCGCTTCACTCCCCCATCCTGACAGCCTGCATAGCCATCTACAGGCTGTGCAAACATGGACAGCTATGCAGGCTGACGGCTATGTGTGCCGATGGCTATGCAGGCTGATGGCTATCCGTGCTGATGGCTATGCAGGCTTACGGCTATGCGTGCTGATGCCTATACA